TAGTCTGGGACACCTACCTTCAAGCGATACTCCCACCTTGGCCTCCCAAAGTGCTGGGATTACAGGCATGAGACACCGTACCCAGCCCCATTTGAAACTATTTAGGAAAGTTTAAAGACACGCATCCCTGGCCGGGCATGGTGGCTCTTACCTGTAATCCCAGTGCTTTGAGAGGCCCAGGTGGCCGGATCACAAGGTCAGGAGTTCGAGACCAGCCTGGCCAATATGGTAAAACTCTGTCTCTACTAAAAATACAAAAATCAGCCAGGCATGGTGGGCAGGCGCCTGTCGTTCCAGCTATGCGGGAGGCTGAGGCAGGAAAATTGCTTGAACCCGGGTGGCAGAGGTTGCAGTGAGCCGAGATCATGTCACTGCACTCCAGCCTAGGCGACAGAGTAAGACTCCGTCTCAAAAAAAAAAAAAAAAAAAAGGGCCAGGCGTGGTGGCTCACGCCTGTAAGTAACCCCAGCACTTTGGGAGGCCGAGGCGGGCAGATCACGAGGTCAGGAAATTGAGATCATCCTGGCCAACATGGTGAAACCCCGTCTCTACTAAAAATACAAAAAAATTAGCTTGGCGTGGTGGTGCAGGCCTGTAGTCCCAGCTACTCGGGAGACTGAGGCAGGAGAATAGCTTGAACTCAGGAGGCGGAGATTGCAGTGAGCCGAGATCGCGCCACTCCACTACAGCCTGGGTGACAGTGTGAGACTCTGTCTCAAAAAAAGAAAAAAAAATGCATCCCTGGTGACCCAGAAATTCCATCCCTCCATGCACACTAAGGTACAAGCAAATCAGGAAATAGACTCAATTATCACCAGGCGATAAACGCCCAGTCCAGAAACTCAGCCAATTAATAATAGCCTCCATGAAAATCAGCCAAAGTCAGCCAATCAGAGACAACCCCACCCTTCTAGTCAACAGCCAATCATCGAGCACTCCTTCTGGTTGCTGCCATTTTAAAGTCGCGCCTCGATAGCCGCCTTATTCCAGTGAGCGGAGGAAGATGCTAGAAGACGTCATGGCTTTCCTCTCAACGCTCCCGCTTCTCAGTGTGCGCCCATCACTGAAGACCTGACTTCCCAAAACTTTCCCAAAGGTCTGGCAGTGTTCTAGAGTATCGCGCCTGACAAGTAAGCACAGGTTCTTAGGATTCGTTTATGCAAAATGATGTGTAACAGAGCACTGTGAGATGATCAAATTCAATCTTTTCAGTTCTTGTGGTTGCTAGAATCTGTTTTTTATTTGTGTATATTTAACTCTCAAACTGATAAAATGTAGGTATAAATTTTGTGATACATTTTCTGAACGGTGGACATTTATTAACGAGAAAAAAGTCCTTTCGAAGCTCTTTGAGTACTATCCAGTGGTTCATTCTATATCAAAAATAGTAGAAAGTCAGATACAAACCAGTACAGTCTAGCTAAGTATAAAGGACATATGATTTCCTCAACTTGCACCAAAGAAACTGATAAAATAATAAATTTTGGCCGGGTGTGGTGGTGTGCACCTGTATTCCCAACTACTTGGGAGGCTGAGGTGGGAGAATCGCTTGAGTCCAGGCGGTCAATGCTGCAGTGAGCTGTGATCACGCTGTTGCACTCCAGCCTGGGTGACAGAGCAAGATCCTGTCTCTAAATAAATGAGTAAGAATTTTTTTTAAAAAAGGAAAAGACCAGTTAATTAGGCAGTTTCGAGTAAAATCCCTTTCAGTTGAGATTTCAGAAATAATAGAAAATTTTTGCAGAGACTCATTGAATTTGGATCTTATGAGACAAATGTGCTGCTTTTGGTGCTAGAGAGTTTGAATTTTATTGTTGTTTTCCAAAAACTGGCATTTGGTTCCATTTATCTTTCTTTTTTCTTTTTCTTTTTTTTCCTTGTCTTTTTTTTTTTTTTTTTTGTTTGTTTTTTTTTTTTTTTCTTTCGTTCGATTCAATTGCCCGTGTCTTATTTTTTTTTTAGCATCTGCTTGCTGGG